AAAAGAGGAGGATTTGATAATAATTTTATTACTTAATTTTTTTCACCAAATTCTTTATTAATATTAACTTTCATTATGGAATAAGAAATTAATTTTTGAAATAATAACTAATCACATTTCATTAGAAACAAAAATTATTTATGCTTTATACTCATTCACAACTTATTTTATTATTACAATATTCTAAAAGCTTCCTTTCACTATGAATAACAAAATTTATCATCTATAATTTGTTTTTCGCAAAAACACAGATCAAAATTTTAGACCATTACTGTATTTGTTTTTCCTACTACTGTATATATATAAGATGACATTTCCTCTCACTTTCTATCAGGTAATTCGATTAAAAAAACTCCTAAAATCTTTTTATTATAATACAAAATATATTATCGAAAATATAAAGCTCAAAATCAACATCAATTTCATAATCGCTCTAATCTACATAATCTTTATGCTCTAATGGAATAAACAAATTAACTATGAATAAAAATAAAATAAATCAATTAAATAATAATACTGTATATACTCAAAATGTACTATACTTCATATGATTAAAATTTATCAAATCATAAAGATACTTTTCCGGATGTTTCTTTATATAATCTTTATGAATATAAAATTTTGTGCCATTAGTATTGATTGTTATAAAATAAAATAAGCAAGGTCACATTTTTAATTTTAATATAATTCAGAATATTACTGAACGTAAAAAAATAGGCTTCATATACATACAATTACAGTTCATATATCTTGATTAATCCTTCAAATATAAAAAATCTCGTTTATGCACATGACCTTTTAAAAGATTTATACATATATAATACAGTATATCAAAAAATTATTTATTTAATCTTGCTTTTTTATAAAAAAAAAATTATTAAATTTGATCAGGTTTTTGTTAAGTTATTTTAATTTAAAGTTTTAAAAAATTTACTAAAAAAAATTTGCTTCTATATATCTATTTTCAATAATAATAGGCATTCGATATTTGCAAATCTCAACATCATATCGATATTAAATTGTTCTTAAGATAGAGTTAGATTTTAATTTCTAATAATTTATTTTGGTTTGAGAAAACGAAAAGAAAAAAAGCAAAGTATAATACATAGCAAATAAAATTTTCCACTAGGTTTTTGACTTTGATCATGAATTAAATATTGAAGTACGAAGTAAAATTAAATGTTAAATTGCATTTTGCAGTATTTATAAGACTTTTTATCATCTTTATCTTTATAATAATTTGCTAGCCATTCACAAGCATCAAGTTGATACATTTTGCTTTTTGAGAGTTTTAAATAGAGTTGTAAGGCTTTATCCTTATTTTTAGTAACACCTTTACTATTTGCATAAAAATGTGCCAACTCAAGTTTAGCAGCTTCTTGATCTGTTTCACTTTTTGCGAGTTCTAAATAAAATTCAAATGCTGTTTTTTTTCATTTTTATTTACACCCAACGATGACAAACTAATTTGAGTTAAAAAGGAACTTTACGAAATTTTTATTTGTAGATAATATTAATTATTATTTATTATAATCATTATGTAACTTGATAAAAAATTTACCTAAAAAATGTATGCCACAATTCCAACAGTAATCACAAAAATAATTACTGGAAGACTTGCTGCAATAATTATGAAATCACTTATAATGAAAGTAATACGTAAGTTATAATTTTCAAATTAAATATTTCAAAGCATGTTTTAAAAATTTTACTTAGAGATCAAATGATACAAATTAAGTGTAACTACGAGCAAAATTAAAAATTTTAAGCAAAATTAAATAAAATTAAATTGAATTTAATGTTAATAATAAAAATGCATAAAAATTGAATTAAGTTTTTTAAATCAAACCAAATATATTATACTTTAAAATTAATAAAAACCCTACAAAAGCTAATAATACTCAGCCTTAACAAAATATCTATACAGTATAAGCTAATTTTATTTAATGTGTCTACATATCATGAATATTTTCAAGTGTAATCATGGAAAGCAAATAGAAAAAAAAAAAGAGATAAATGACATTATACAGAATATAATTTGGAGATAGAAAAATTTGGACCAAATACTAGAGATATTAAAAAATTATTTGGAATGCTCCATAGCAAATAAAATCTTTACAAGGTTTTTGACTTTGAACATGATAATACTGGTAAGCAAATAAAATTTTGATAAAATTATTGTAATTCTGGTAATGGTATCTAATAAACATCTCAAATTATACAAATACTTTCTTCTAAAAACAGAATTTTAAGAAGTTCAACTTTAATTAAACTTATTGGACAATTCTTATCCAGAATTCTGCGACTCTCTAAAATATTCAAATTAAACTTTTTTTTCACCGTGCTTTTAGTATTTTACATGACAATAATTAAAATATGCAGTTATAAACGTATCAAATATAGATCCAAGTTAATTGTTTTGTTACAACACATAATGCTTATTTAGCGAATCAAGATTTACTAATTATAACTTCAATTTTTCTTAGACAATTCTGAAAATCAATTTTTTTATTGAAATTTAATTAATGCTATTCAATTTTTACTTATCTTGAAGTTATTTTGTATAGGTCAAGATAATTATTTTTATTAGAGAATTGATCTCAATAGTAGAATATTTGTTGGTAGAGCTTGTGCCTCTAACATTAAATCTCTTTATAGTAATAATTTTTTTTCTGATAAGAAGTGATAACTATAGTTTATTTATATTAATTGTAAATTATAATCACTATATAGCTTATTGAATAATCTTCAAAAATTAATTTAGTGAACTCTATTATTTTAAATTAAATAAATTAAAACGTGGGCCATTAATTTATATTGTTATATATTGTATAAAATGATAATATTTACACGGTTTTACCACAAAATCCTGATATCCAAAATTTTGACAGGCCATCACATGACGTGATAATTAAAAATTTACAGTACTGTTAATATAATTATTGATTTTTAAATATTTATTGTGGTAAAACCACTTCCAACACCATAGTTATACCGACCTAAAGATTTTTAAAATATAATGGCTTTTATTTAAGACTTTTCTTATATACTTTTGATTAAACTTATTT